CCAACTCTGAATGCAGTGTGATTTACCAAATAATTGAATTTATAATTAATGCATCAAAAAGGACAGAGTGAAGAATCAGTAGACTCCTAGGAGATGTGTCCAATTAAGCTACCTATATCATACTAGGCTTACTCATGCACAACGTAGATATGGGCCAACCCCTAAATTTTTAAATATAACCGACAAAAAGATAAAATCAGAAAGTGTTTCACGAAGAATATATGACCAATTAAGAAGAGGAAATAATAACCAAAAAATAATGATAAAACTATTAATTACTTAATATGTTTTTAATACGATTTTCATATGTAGACTTGATTCTTTTTCTTAGGACAATTACGTAGAACTATATTTCTTATATTGGATGGTGGTGAGATTAAATCTAGTACCTCGTTCGTCTAGCTCGATATCATGCTAAATCGTGTGATCAAATTATTTAAAAGATTAATCTGGCTATTAGATGAAGCATAAATTTTCAATTATTTAATTATGCTTAACCAAATATGTTGTTTAAGAAGGCTAAAAAGACCCTCATAAGTCGCTCAAAGTTGTGGTTTGGCTATTAATTGCTTACCATTAAAATCCTAAACTTGTGAAATAATGCAAAGAAAAGTATTCTCTACAAAGAGAGTTTGGTACGATGGAAAATGAGTGGTTTTATGACTTATTTTCCCTTGTTTGGTTGGTGAGTGGAAAATTTTTTTTAGAAAATATTTTCTAGTGTTTGGTTAGAGAGTAGAAAATATTTTTTAGAAAAATATTTTTTTATGCTACTCTCCTCACTCACCCCTTTCCCCAAGTCCCCATATTTCACGTGCTCTCCTCCCCTTCCTCCCTCCTTCCTCCAAATACCCAACGTTTTCAGAACTCTATTTTTCTTCAAGAATTTAATTATTTTTCTAAAAATTCACACAAATTTAAAGGAACTAATGTGTTGCATTACTTTTTTACGCAAAAATAACGTTTAAATTTGTGCTCCATAGCTAAAAAAATACTCTATTTTTGGTTCAAAAAGAAAGTATTCTTTCTACAACATGAAAATAAAGTACTTATTTTGTTGAAATGAAAGAAAATATTTTTTCTACATCATGAAAAGACAAGAGGGAGGAGCATTTGGTTACTTCTCAGAGTACGGTGGCGAAGACTCAGATTAACTATCTTCTCCTTAGAAGGTGCGACAGAGGGCTGTGTAAGGATTGCAAGGTTATCCCGGGTGAGACCCTCGCGACGCAGCATAGCCTCTTGGTGATGGACGTCGGTATTATGATGAAAAGGAAGAAGAGGACTGCACGAGGTCGACCGAGGATCAGGTGGGGAGCCTTGACTAAGGATAAAGCTTAGGAGTTGGAAGGGAGGTTATCGGTTGTGGGAGCCTGGAGGAGTAATGGTGACGCGAGCGTTATGTGGTCGACGACGGTCGATTATATACGGGAGGCAGCGAGATAGGTGTTGGGAGTCTCGAAGGGTTACGCTGGCGGGCACAAAGGCGACTGGTGGTGGAATGAAGTGGTCCAAGGTAAAGTGGAAGCGAAGAAGGCCGCGTACCTGAAGTTAGTTGGGAGCACATGCAAGGTAGAGTGGTGTGCGAATAGGGAGAGGTATAAGGTAGCTAGGAAGGAGGCGAAACTGGAGAAAGCATATGACAAGGTTCCTAGAGAGGTTTTTTAGATATGCCTAGAGGCTAAAGGTGTGGCGGTTGCTTACATTAGGGTGATTAAGGACATGTATGATATGCTAAGACTCGGGTTAGGATAGTGGGAGGCGACTCTGAGCATTTTTCGGTTGTTATGGGGTTACACCAAGGATCTGCGCTCAGCCCTTTCTTGTTTGCTTTGGTGATGGACGCACTGACACACCATGTTCAAGGAGAAGTGCCATGGTGTATGTTATTCGCTAATGACATTGTTCTGATTGACGAGACGCGGAGTTGCGTTAACGAGAGGCTGGAGGTTTGGAGACAGGCACCTGAGTCTCAGGGTTTCAAGTTGAGCAGGGCGAAGACGAAGTATCTTGAGTGCAAGTTCAGTGCCGAGCTGAGGGAAGCGGGCATGGACGTCAGGATTGGATCGCAGGTCATTTTCAAGAGAGGCAGTTTCAAGTAGCTTGGGTCGATTATCCAGGGGGATGGGGAGATCGACGAGGATGTCACACACCGTATAGGGGTGGGGTGGATGAAATGAAGGTTAGCGTCTGGAGTCCTATGTGACAAGAAAGTGCCTCCGCTACTCCAAGGTAAGTTTTATAGAGCGCTGGTTAGGCCAGCCATGATGTATGGGCAGAGTGTTGGCCAGTTAAAAACCCACATACTCAGAAGATGAGAGTAGCAGAAATGAGGATGTTGAGGTGGATGTGCGGGCACACTAGGATGGATATGATTAGGAATGAAGATATTCGGGAGAAGGTGGGCATGGCTCCTATTGATGACAAGATGCGGGAAGCGAGGCTCAGATGGTTCGGGCACGTTTAGAGGAGGAGCTTGGATGCCCCGATAAGGAGGTGCGAGCGGTTGGCATTGGTGGGTATGAGGAGAGACAAATGGCGGCCTAAGAAGAATTGGAGAGAGGTGATCAGGCGGGATATGGCGAGGCTTCAGATCTCTGAGGACATGGTACTCGATAGGAAGCTGTGGAGGTTGAGCATTAAGGTTGTAGCTTAGGAGGTAGTTGAGTTCATTTAGTCTACTAACGTGAGGCTTGGCTGATAGGATTTAGTCTTAGACTGCTAGTGGTTAGTGTTGTGTTTTCACTACTCTTCCGTTTTCATAGTTTAGGGCCTTATTTACTGGTTATTATTTCTGTTTTTCATTTATTCACTGGTTCTTGTGATGTCATTATTATTTCCATGATTTTTTATTGATGATACTGATATATTGTCTCTTTTTTTGTCTTTTCATCTTCTTGAGTCGAGGGTCAATCGGAAACAGCCTTTCTACCCCGATCGGGGTAGAGGTAAGGTTTCCGTACACACTATCCTCCCCAGACCCCACTTGTGGGACTATACTGGGTTGTTGTTGTACATTATGAAAAAAAAAATCTTTTTTTGTTGAAATGAAAGAAAATACTTTTTTTCATCATGAAAAAAAAACTATTTTTGTTGAAATGAAAGAAAATACCCTTTTTTACATCATGAAAAGAAACTATCTTTTTTTGTTAAAATAAAAAAAAATACTTTTTTTGATATCATGAAAAGAAAAATACCCATTTGTTGAAATGAAAAAAAAAAGTACTCTATCTATAACATAAAAAGAAAGTACAATTAATAATATTTCTATTTAGGTTGGGGGATTGGGGGTTGGGGTGGGGTTGGGGGCGGGGGTGGGGATAGACGTTTTTCAATAGTTACAAAGTTTGCTATGTGTTTGAATTTATGTGAACTTTTTCGAAGTAAGAGGAGTAAATTTACTGTATAATTTATATTGTTTGAAACAAAATTCATATACAAAAAAACTATAAAAAAAAATAATATAAGTCACAATAATTAATTAAGACATGGTCAAAGTAAATCTTATGTGACTCCACAATTAGTACTAGATCCGCATAAATGAAAACGTAGAGAGTAATACAAATACGAGATATTCTTTAGCCTATAAAATAAATATACACATCTCGGCTTTTCCTTTTTATTCTTTCTTTCTGCAAATGAAAGGTGAAAACTGAATTAATATTCATCTGTTTTGACACGTGCTTCCCTTTTATGAAAACATACTTATAGAACGTGAAGCAGGGCAAATAGCATACCTCTTCTATATCTCGGAAGAAATTTAAATCTCCTTATAAAGTTTCATGGACTCAATATTTTGTAAAAATGGCAGCACTTTTTATCTGATTAATTTAGAGGGTGTTTGGCTAAGCTTATAAGCTGATCAAACTGGTTTATAAGCACTTTTTTGGCTTATCTACGCATTTGGTAAAATTAAAAGTGCTTACAAGTTAAGTGCTTATAAGCCAAAAATAAGCCAAAAGTCATAAGTTGGTCTCCCCCAACTTATCAAATTTCAGCTTATAAGCACTTTAGGTTTGACCAAAATATTACTATTCTATCCCTAAAATACTTCGTTTCAAAACAGAACTCTTCGTATACCCAGTTCTTCAGCTGCTTATTATTAATTTCATCACTTTTATCCAAACACGTAATTGCTTATTTTTTAAATCAGCTTCAGCACTTAAAAGTGCTTTTCAACACCTAATGCTTATTAGCTACTCTAAATCAGCTAAGCCAAACGGGCTCCTAATATCTGAAACTTAGTAATTCAATTAATTCAAATTCAAGTCAGATGAACCACTGCACTCCTATGAAAAGTTCTTCGTTTACAAAATTCGAATCTAAAACTTTTAATTTAAGGATAAAAAAATCTACTAGTAGCATGTTTGGCCGTGTTTCTATTAGCTTATTTTAAAAAATACTTTTTTAAAATAGTTTTTTAAAAATTTACTTTTGGTGAGAAATAGTTTATGTTCGACTAAATTAAAAAAAACTTTTGAACAGTAATCAATGATTGGTCAAACGTTTAAAAGTCTAAATGTATTTTTCCTTCTATTCAAAAACTGTTTCTGCTTCTATTCAAAAATATTTAAAAACTTAACCAAACACCTTAGTTTTTAAGAAAAAAGTTGTTTTGACAATAAAAGAAATTACTCCATCTGTTTCAAATTAGAGGAAATACTTTCCTTTTTAGTCTCTTTCAAAATAAATGACACATATCTAAATTGAAAAATAATTCAATTTTAAACTCTTCATTTTACCTATTATTTTACCCTTAATGAAAAACTTTTATAACCACACAAATATGAACCACAAAGCTTACCGCTTAAACTTTTAAGACTATAAGTTTTAAATTTTTTTTTTAATTTTTAAAGTTCGTGCCGAATCAAACTAATTCATCTAAATTGAAACGGAGAAAATTCATTATAAGCCAAAAAGAAGCACGAACAGGCTATAAATCATTTATCCAAAGATGTAGAGTAGAGTAATTCTTTTCTTAAGAAGTAAGATTCAAACAGAGGTGAAGCGCGTGGGAAGATATGAATTTCTGATTACTTAAATATCAGCCTCTCCCAAGTAAGTTAAATACTCACTATTTAGAGGTTGACGGCGATTTTTCTAACTTAATTTTTTTAACTCTATATTTTCTCTCAGTGTCTTCTCACCAATTGGCATTGACGCGACAAAGCTTTCAAATCCAACAATCCCAAAAAGTTAAACAAAAATTAAAATATTCCATCCAAACACTCCCTTAAAATACAATCTCTTTACGCGTTATCTTTTCTCCTATTTCTTCTTCTTCTTCTTAAACCCTAGCTTTCTCTCTCCGCGTATTTCACTCTCTCTGTAACATCTATGGATGATAAGGATAAAGTTAACGATCCATTAAAAAGTGCAGCTGAGTTCGACGCTACTGAGTCGAGCTGGTCACTCGGTGCAGATTCGGACAATGTTTACAGCTTCTTCGGCAATACTGATAGAGATAACAGTATATTAAACGAATTCGGTTGGAATTTTGCGCCGTCGGAGGCGGCCGGAGATAAGGATATTGCCGGTGGTAGTGGCGGTGCTGGTGGATTTGATCGGATCGACGATGATTTGGCGGGAAATAGTAGTACTACTCCATCTGCTTCTGCTACTGAAGTACCGGCGACGGGGAAAATCACTGATGAACCTGTATCTTCCAGCTGTTCGGATGATCCTCCGGAGAAATCCACCGCATCCGGTGGCTCTTCCGCCTCCCGACCGCCGTCCGATACAGCGTGAGTCATGTGTTATCGACCTTCTCTCGCTTCACGTAGCACAGCTCTATATTACATCTCTCTCTCTCTATGTGTGTGTTAAACTCGTAATTAACTAAAGTTTCAATAGTAAAAAAATGGACTTCAAATTTAAGTGTAGAATTTAGGGGGATTGTAGCAGAAGCATAAAAGGAAAAGCCATTACCGCGTCCGTACAGGTTCTAGAAATGTCAAGTTGTTTACGCAAGTTGGAGTATGGGGAAGAGAAAGAGAGAGGCATTATCGTAATTTAATCATCAAAGTTGGGCTTTTCGGTATTGCGCACTTCGTGTGGTTTCAAAACAGCCGTTATTGCGGCGGGAATGGCGTGGACGAATTTTTCCCTAAAATATTGTGAAGTAAAATAATACTCCTACTATTGTTTAAGGAAAATGTTTTTTTCCCCTTTTCTCTTTTTGGATTGTTTAGTGCTGATTTTCACGAGTTATTAGATTTAGAAAACGCAATCAAAAGCTCACATGGTAAATGCAAAGTGTATAGTAAAGTATCTTTGCCATAACACTTCTCTGAAAATAGTTGGTGTATACTCTGATTAATTAGTAACTTCTGCTTCATTATTTTGTGGTCCATTATATTGCTTTAATTTGTGCGTACATAGTATATTTAAGGAATGGTGGAAGTTGGAAAATTTTACTACCAGTTATGGGGAAAATGAGTTACTCCCTCTGTTATATTTTATGTGTGGTTGGCAATTTTCATATTTAAAAATAATTCAATTTTAAATTTCTCATTTATTTTTAATAACCTGCTTTTATAGATGTAGAAATATTTTGAAAGTTTTTTCTTAAATATAAATATTTGTGTTGAGTCAAATTTCGTCACATATATTAGAACAGTCTCCTACGTAATATCTCTAGTGCAAGCTAGTCATGATATGCGTGAACTTTTGTTTTATGTGATCTCTCAAGGCCCATTGCATGCATTTCTATACGCTATGGCTATGGTCTACGTGATACGTCTAGAGCAACTTTTTTTTATAAAATATCCCTCTTTTTCGTTAATAACTATCTTCTATAATATTATTTTATTATAGTGTTCAAGTTTTCTTTGGAATCGAACTTTATATGTTAATATAATTTTATATGTTTCCTATAACATGATTTCGCTATAATAAAAAAGATTGATTGTATAATGGTATTAGTGAGGGTTTTCTTTGAAACACGGTGCGCTTCGTGTTATCCTATGGTTTAGGCTGGGAGAGGAATGAATTTGTGCTTTAATATTACTATTTGATTTCTAATACGTTGTCCACTAGTTTTATAAGGGTCTCTGGTTTTAAGTTCCATTCATTGCATCTATTGACAACAGTGGAAAGCTTTCATTCTTTAAGCTACTTTGTGTTCGCTCTCATTCTGCTTCTTAGCATTAATGCTAGCTTTTATATAATAGAGATTAATTTCTGGACCAAAATTTTGAATTTCTTTCACTTATCGGCATATAAGATAAAATAAGACGCAAAAACATGTAAAGCCAATTTAGGTGATATTAAATATTTGTGGTCTACAACTTTATTAAAAGAATAAAGACCGACCTCTTCTTTTTCAATTGAAAGATATCTTGTTTACAATAATATTTCTGATTAACTAGGTCGGTTGAAAAGCAATTTGATTGCTATTTTCAGCAGGTGTACTTGGAAATGCCTCTTTTTCTATTTTATAGTGTGATAAAGGAATCACATTCCTAATGTTACTTTAGGTTGAATATTCCACAGAAGCAAGGTTAAAAAGAAGGGTCAGAAACGAATCAGGCAGCCCCGCTTTGCATTTATGACGAAAAGCGAAGTTGATCATCTTGAAGATGGCTACAGATGGAGGAAGTATGGTCAAAAAGCTGTTAAAAATAGTCCATTTCCAAGGTCTGTTTCTCGAATTTCATCGTAATGCTTAGTTGAACAATTTTTTCCCTTAAATGCCATTTCTTCGCTAAATTTGAGCTTGCCTTTAATTGTTGAAGATAATGATTAAATAAATAAAAGTGAACTATTTCTAAATAACTTAAGATTTTAGATAAAATTGCTACACATTAAAATCAAACAGAAATCTCGGATACAAGTTCTTCACACACTATATTATAGAGAATAATTTACACGTGTTTAGCCCATGAAAAAAGAAATAGAATGACACGTGATCGGTTCATTGAAAATGTAGTTATTAAATAAATAGAATTCAATCAAATCTAACAACTTGCGCTTTTAAATGATGAGATGGTCACATAGTTCAATATTAACTATAGTTACGTCCAATCATGATACATCTTTTTGTTATAGATCTTACCCACTAATGTTAATGATGATTGAATTAGCTTCCAACTAATGTATAATAGGCTAAATTCGACAAATACTAGTATAAGGCTACTTGAAATATTATTGTCATTCTTTTAGTTTGCAAATTATAAGTCCAATTGATTACAAAGCTGGAGTACTGCAAGCATGCAAATATGTAACAAAATGCTGCCAAGACAGACTTTTTTCAAAGTTTAAATTGCTTGACTGTAGAGTCTAGGGATGTGGTCCGGTGATCAACCCCATCAGAGTTCAAATCTTAATAGAAACAAAATTTGCTAAGTGATTTTTTTTTATCTGCCCGAGCCTTAGATGTAAAATTACCTAATAATTTTATTAGTGGTAGAAATAGCAGATAGCTACTAGTAAATTAGTCGAGATTGCGCAAATTAACCCGGATGCCATTGTAATCAAGAAAATAGAATGCTTGACTATAGTAGCAGTTGAAAGTTCAATCGGCAATAATGTCATGATTATTTGATGGAATTCCATCATTTTCTAGTGAGTAAAAGAAGGCTGGTCATAATATCATACAAAGCATTTCATTTTGCTAGCCAGATTATTGAGTTTTTTTTTCTTTAATATATTATTTTGAAAGTGAAGTAAAATAAAGTAAACTTTAACCGAAAACAACTTCAGAAGCACCAAAATTCAACGCGCATATTCTAGATTAATCATTGATTTTAGTACTAGTGTATCTCTTTAGCAGATAGACTAGAAGAAACCTTTGTTTAAGTGTTACCTGAACAAAGTTTCAAATGTCATTTTACCAAATAAACATGGTGTATGAACAGTATGATGTTTTATCAACATATTGCATAGCATTGATAATTTCTATCAAGATAGAAATAATATGTTTAAACACTCCAATAACAACAACAATCCCAATATAATATCACAAGTGAGATATGAGAAGGGTAGAGTGTATACGGAACTTACCCCTGCAAAATAATTATGATGTCCATGCCTTCTCAGGAGCTATTATCGTTGTACAAATACCAAGTGCACGGTGAAGAAAAGAGTCGAGCGATCTTCTGAAGATCCATCAATTGTAATCACCACATATGAAGGACAACATTGTCACCATACAGTTGGATTTCCTAGAGGCGGACTTATCAGTCATGAAGCTGCATTTACAACTCATCAATTATCACCCTTAGCCTCGCAATTCTACCTTCCCGGGGGTGTTCAATACCCTCAAGAAGTACCTATGAGCGCCCCAGAATCGCGTCAAATTCCAGGTGAATCTGTAGAAGCTCGTAGATTGCCAGAGACAAGTCAACCAGCCAACCAGCTGCCAACTGATGAAGGATTGCTTGGGGATATTGTACCTCCTGGAATGCGAAGCAGATAATATTAAGGGTAATCCCTTTCCTATTTTTCAGTTTGACACTATCTTGACATGCTGCATTGATTGATCATTGATTTTTTTTTTTGTTTACAAGTTTCATCAATGACATATACGTTGTTAATATGCTTTTGCTGTGTGTATGTATGTGTGTTTTTACCAAGCACTTGGAAATTTTTTCTCATAACACGGTTGCTACAAGTTTGCCTAGGTTGCAACAATTAATTAATTATGTCTTTAATTAGTACGTACGTCCTCTCATGTGCTGGTTTGATTCTTCTTTTTTAACCAAGTATTCTTCCTTTTTTAAACCAAGCACATGAACTTTTTATTTTATTATAAATGGTGATAAGACTTAAACTCAGGATTTCTCAGGACTTTTGTATGTCCGATAGTATGTTAATTTGTGTGACCATCTTATTTAGAAGTTTAAATTGTTCACATATTTACTTAACACGTTGTAGGTGTCCTATTGACCAGGTTGACTAAAGTTTTCCTCCATTTATGAACATGCTACACGCTTTGACTGCGCTTCTTAAATAAGTTTGTATCAATAGGTCAGGCCACTATAATAGACTAAATCATAACAATATAGACACTTGGACATAGACTCTATCCTAACAATGATGGCCGCATCTACAATAGTAGCAATAGGTATGGTCCAATACTGCTTTCGGTTCACATATGATGGTTGCATGAACGTGTGAAACTTAAAAATAAATGAACATAGTTACAAACCAACGTACATAACTATTGCAAATTCGTCTCTGCTTGTGAAACTTTTGCCACTCAACATGTCTGCTTTTATTGATTACGACTTGCTAGTGCCTTTGAACTCCTTCGTATGTATTGATCACCTGATAGTGAATATTCTGGTAAAAGTAAAAATCAAATAATAATTTCTCCTTCTCAAAGACATGATTGTAAAATCAGATCAACATAAGTTAGTTCTATTTAAAATCTTTCATAAAATGTAAATGGTAAAAGAAATGATGAGAGTTGTCAATTTTCTTCCGGTCAAATCGAACAAGATCCCGAGTGATGGAAATCTAAAGTTGATAAAGTTAAAACATAAGTCCCTTTCCTGTAGATTGCTTTCCCACCGCAACCTTTTCCTATGGACGTTGCTTTGTCTGGATAAAGTTTTATCTTTCTTTCATTGCATTTAGTTGTACAGTATATGAATTGTTTGGTCCCCACTGGTTTAAACAACAGTCAAGTCGTGATGCATGAACTTGATTGATGCTTTTCCTCTGGGCAACATTGTTCTTGTACTATTTGCAAAGGCCTTTTTAAATTGAATTACTTGATTACCACGACTGAAGCCTACCTTGTGATAAATTGAATTACCTAGCAAGTAGGGATTGTCTAAAGTATAGATATGACCTAGAAATAAAGAAGGAAACTAATCTTTCTGTTGTATTTTACGTGACACCCCTTTCTTTTTCGTCACTTAAGAAAAAGAATGACACTTTTATATTTGGAAGTACTTTAACTTTAGACCATCTTCCCCTTTTACCCTTAATAACATACTTTTATGATGATAAAAATGTCATGGTAATGTTTAAAATTACAAATTCGATACTTTTGAAATGTGTCAAAAGTAAGTCTTTCTTCTTTAAACTATGTGTTTAATTAGTCAAATATAGAAATATACAATGAAATGAAGGAAGTAGTTTCTTTTTATTACTGGGTTTTGACAAGAACCAATTTTGTGATTGTTGTTGGTACGTTAATTTGGCCATAGGCTTTAAGAATCAGCCCAATGGAGGTGGCAATGCGCTCCTCAGCATGCCAAAGGCAAATCTTGCGGTATGATTTTTTTTCTTGCTTTTTGTGGTGTATACACACATCTCATGCAAAGCATGCATAAGTAATAGAATAAGTCACGCCTGTCGGCGTAAACTGAAGCATATTTTTGGGATGAGTGGTCCTCAACATGATCATATGCTTGGAATCTTGTGAGATATTATGCATTATTCTTTGAGATTGCAACGTGATCATACATTTAATTTCCATATGCTTGAAATATTCTCATTGTAGTTTGTTTCTTGCTAAACTTTTTGTGCATATACAAAAAGCTATGTTGTTCGAACTCTTCAAAAATATCATCTAACACTAGACTCTTCAAAAATAATGAGTGTGACAATATTTTTGAACAGTCCAAACAAATATAGACAGAAAGGATATTACAGTAGCACTAAGTTTAATAGTATATTAGATTTAGGATGGGGAAAAAGCATCTTCCATGATTATATATGAAAATGTCCGCAAGAAATTACTTGTACGTGCTTGTACCAGATATTTACACACACCTATATTGGGTAATGAATATTTACACACAATTGGCTAATTAATATACATAGATGTTATATTTAACATGTTAGCGTCCAACATTAACCCTTTGCATTAAGACGTGTAATGGCTACTTAATATATTTCTTTTACAAAAACTCTTTCCAGGTATATATAGCATGGATGCATGTCATTCTTGAATTTATAGCTGGAATCTGCCCTCTATATATTGTGAAGTTTACTAGCTGTTGTATTTTTGCTGATCATGATAGGAGTATATCATGACTTAATGGAGGATCCTTGGATAGCAGCCCAGATATTCAAGACTAGCTATAATTAATGGTAGATTTTCCCCTTTTCTTTCTCTTTTTTCCACTTTCTGATACTGGGGATTGGGGTACATAGAGGGAGCTAGGGGGAGGTATAATATTTGACTTGATTTGTGTTGTATGTTGCAATTCTGGTAGTAATAATTTTTTTATTTACCAAAAAAAAAAAAAAAAAATCCTTTGCCTATATTCATGTGGAATCTTTTTCTTTCAGTAGTTTAGTTAGTACTTCCTCGTCCCAATTTATGTGGTAATATTTGTCTATGCTCAAAAATTTAAAAAAAAAGGAAGACGTTTAAAATTTATGGCCTTCAACAAGCGTTCTATATATATATATATATATATATATATATATATATATATATATATATATATATATATATATATATATATATATATGAGGCTATAAATCATCTTATTAGGGATAAAATAAATATTTAAAGCTAAATTGTTACTACTAAATATGAAATGTATCATTCTTTTTTGAACTAACTCAAAAGTAAACAATGTCTAGGTGGGATTTGCTAGCATAAGTGGGGATTGTTTGTCTTTGAAGAATCAACTTCATGATTTGTCCTTCCATTGGACTAGGCGGGATGCTAATAAAACGGCTCATTCACTTGATCGGGTAGCTTTACGTATGCAATTCGTGTTATTTAGGATTATCATATTTAACTTATATTCTTTATTCTGATGCTTCTCATTTAAATGTGTTTCCTATAAAAAAAAACCTAAAAAGAAAATAATGTCACTTAAATTGTGGAGTATTTTTTTCGTTTTAGTACTCAACCTTTTGCATGAGAGTAATAGATATTGGTGTACGTAAGGGTAAATCTTGGGCGGCAAGTTGTGTCAATTGCGTGGATTTCTAAGTTGCTCCATTGTCAGCGGACATTACCTTTTACCATCTCCCTCTTTTTAACCTTATTTTTTTTTTTTTTTTTACTTTTACATTCACCTTTTCCTTGTAGCCTACGGTATCATTGTCATTTGCACACTTCTGTAGATATCTCACCACTTTGCTGGTTGATGCGTGATGCACAGACGCCTTACTTTTACCATGGACTTCTCTCCCTCATTTTATTCCGTTGCAATTTATGACATATTTTAGTTAGTAGTCTGTTTAAAAAAAAAAAAACCCATATTTATATTTTAAAATAATTCAATTTTTAACTTTCTATTTTATCACTTACTCTTAATGAGAAGCTTTAAATGTCATTAGCACCATAAAACTTTTAACCGTTAAGTTTTTAGGATCACAAATTTCAAAAAAAAAAAAATTAAAACTTTGTAGTGAGTTAAACTACCTCATATAAACTAAAATGAAGAGAACAATTTCTTTTTTCTTATACCTAAAAAATTCTTTTCAATTTCAAATGTTCCGAGGTGTGTTTGTAATGTTTTAGATCCTCATTGGAACTTAAATGTTTTATTAAAGTTATTTTTTGTCACGACCCGGATTTTCCACCCTCAGGAGTCGTGATGGCGCCTACTAATGAGAGCTAGGCAAGCCAGAATTAATTACTCGTCCATTAATAATCTAATCCATTTAACAATTTACGGCAATAATACAAAAACAACGAAATTCAATAATAAGCGGAAGTCTTAACATTTTATAAAACTGAATAAAAATGCGGAAAGTTCAACCAAAATCCTCTACCCATGACTGGTGTCACTGTACTCACGAACTGCTAAGAATACTACATTCAAACGTCTGAAAGAGAATATAAGCTGTTTGTCTCGATTACAATGAGATAACAGATAAAAATAAAGGATAGAGGAGACGCCGGGCCTGCGGACGCCTGCAAGGCTACCTCGGGTCTCGCTGAAATGAAGTCTGCTCTCACACTACGGCTGCTGCTGCTCGATACCTAGACCTGTGCAAAATAGCATAGAGTGTAGTATCAGCACAACCGACCCCATGTGCTGGTAAGTGTCTAGCCTAACCCCGGCGAAGTAGTGACCAGGCTAGACTGGACCACCACATAAACCTGTGCAGTTATATACATACAGCGGAATCGAAATACCAGACAAGTAAACAATATGGGAGGGGAAGCATGATGTGGGGAGATAACAGTATTAACAGTAAATCCAGAGTAACAGTCTAAAGGCAGCTTAAAATTTACAGCGGACAAGAGACTAATATCCAAAATAAACACACTTGTAACAATAATTGTTGCGGCGCGCAACCCGATCCCAATATATATAACATCACTGTTGCGGCGTGCAACCCGATCCATATCGTTTAGCATTGTTGCGGCGTGCAACCCGATCCATATCGTTTAGCATTGTTGCGGCGTGCAACCCGATCCATATCATTTAGCACTGTTGCGGCGCGCAACGCGATCCACAATTATCATTCAATGCACGGCATCACCCTTCGTGCTTTAACACTCTTCCTCACCCAATCAACAAATCACAAACAAGGGCAAGGGAATAATAAAACAAGAATGGGAGTCCCGGCAAGGGTACAACATCAATAACCAACAACGTCCCGGCAAGGGAATAAATCATTAACTCTTCTCTTTCTTTCACTTTCATCTCAAAGTTCACATTATCACTTGAGCCAATGCTCCAAGGAGTTACTTATCCCATACACCTTTACAATTTGTATTTCAGCCCGAGCCAATGCTCCACGAAGTCAAAGATCACAATCTCTTTCACAAGATCTTTACAACATGTAGAAGTCATCATTTAAGCATGGAAGGCATAACAACAACCAAACTATTTGCAAAACAAGGACTTACGGTCATGCTAGACACCAATGTATAAGATACTCGTCACCATGTCTATACATCATACTCGACAATTAGCAAGTTACAAATAAGACTCAACTCCTATTCCCTCAAGCAAGGGTTAAACCAAACACTTACCTCGATGCCTTGAACTCAACTCAAGCCTCAACTATGGCTTTACCCCGTGACTCCACCTCCAATCCGCTCGAATCTAGCCACAAATTACTCAATTTCTTTAATAAACACTAAATGAATCAATTTGAATGCAAAAAAAAAAAAAAATTTCCCAAGTTTTTCCCAAAAATTCCAAAATCGCCCTTGGGCCCACGTGGTCAAAACCCGGTTATCCATTCCCCCACGAACTCAAATATGTAAATTATTTTGAAATCGAACCTCAAATTGAGGTCCAAATCCCTAATTTTTAGAAAACCTAGGTTCTACCCAAAACCCCCAATTTCACCCATGAAAATCTTTGATTTTAAGTGAAAAACAAGTTAAATGATGTTAATGATTGAAAGAATTTAGTAAAAATTGACTTACAAATGATTTGGGATGAAACTTGTTCTTGAAAAATCGCCTAAGGAGTTGTATTTTGAAAGTGGGGTGAAAAATGGCCTAAAATTCGACTAAGTATGGAAAATGCAGGTTGTAGATATGGGAATTGCGAACTGGGGTTCGCAATTGCGAACCCCGACCAAATATGGGAAATGCGAACCAGGGTTTGCATCTGAGAACCCTCATGAAAAGCCCAGGTTTCGCATTTGCGAACAAAAAGTCGCATTTGCGACATGGCCCCTCTCGCATTTGCGGACCCAGTGGTCGCATTTGCGACCTAGTGCAGGTTTCCCCCTTTCTCGCATTTGCGATCAAGGGCTCGCATTTGCGAGAACTTCTTCGCAAATGCGAAGATATCAGAACTGAAGATACCATATTTTTCTCTAAGTTCAAAATGCACTCACGGCCTATCCCAAACTCACCCGAGCCCTCGTGGCTCCAAACTAAACATACGCACAACCTCAAAAACATCCTACGAACTTATCCGTGCGATCAAATCGCCAAAATAACATCATAAACATCGAATTAGGCCTCGAAATCCATGATTCCTTCCAAATTTTCATAAAACATCAAATTTCCATTTTAAGTCCGAAACATGTCAAACGACGTCCGTTTTCAACCAAACTTTACAGAAAGTGCTAAAATTATATATAAGACTTGTACCGAGCGCGCGGAACTAAAATACGAGCCCGATACCATAGTCTTTTAATCAAATTTCATTTTCATTTTCCTTAATCATTTCCAGAAAATAATTTCACACAAAAATTCATTTCTCGGGCTTGGGACCTCGGAATTCGATTTCGGGCATACGCCCAAGTCCCATATTTTCCTACGGACCCACCGGGACCGTCAAATCACGGGTCCGGGTCCGTTTACCCAAAATGTTGACCGAAATCAAATTTATTCATATTAATATCAAAATTTAGCATTTTTCACACAGAATTCATATTTAAGCTTTCCGGTTACGCGCCCGGACTGCGCACGCAAATCGAGGCAACCCTAAATGAGGTTTTCAAGGCCTCGGAAGTACAGAATGGGTAAGAAAACAGGTGATGACCCTTTGGGTCGTCACATTCTCCACCTCTAAAACAACCGTTAGTACCTCAGTCGGGGAAAAGATGAGGATAACGGCTCCACATATCGGACTCGGACTCCCAGGTCGATGCCTCAGGAGGCTGACCTCTCCACTGAACACGAACAGAAGGAAAACTCTTGGATCTCAACTGACGAACCTGCCGGTCTAGAATAGCTACCGGCTCCTCCTCATAAGACAAATCCTTGTCCAACTGGACAGTGCTGAAGTCTAACACGTGGGCTGGATCGCCGTGATACCTCCGAAGCATGGATACATGAAAAACTGGATGCACGACTGATAAGCTAGGCGGCAATACAAGTCTATAAGCCACCTCTCCCACTCGATCAAGAATCTCAAACGGACAAATGAACCTAGGCCTAAGCTTGCCCTTCTTCCCAAACCTCATCACGCCCTTCATAGGCGACACTCGGAACAATACCCGCTCACCAACCATGAAAGATATATCTCGAACCTTACGATCTGCATAGCTCTTTTGCCTAGACTGAGCTGAACGAAGCCTATCCTGAATGATCTTGACCTTGTTCAAGGCCTCCTGAACCAAATCCGTCCCTATCAACCGAGCCTCTCCCGGCTCAAACCATCCCACCGGAGACCGATACCGCCTACCATATAAAGCCTCATAAGGAGCCATCTGGATGCTCGACTGGTAGCTGTTGTTGTAGGCAAACTCCGCTAAAGGCAAGAACTGATCCCACGAGCCTACAAAATCAATAACACAAGCTCGAAGCATATCCTCCAAAATCTGAATAGTCCGCTCAAACTGACCGTCCGTCTGGGGATGGAATGCTGTGTTCAACTTAACCCGTGTGCCCAACTCTCGCTGAACTGCTCTTCAGAAGCGCGAGGTAAACTGCGTACCCCGGTCCGAAATGATAGATGCCGGCACACCATGAAGGCGAACAATCTCCCAGATATAAATCTCAGCTAATCTCTCAGAAGAATAGGAGACTGCCACAGGAATGAAATGTGCTGACTTGGTCAGCCTATCAACAATAACCCAAACTGCGTCGAACTTCTTCCGAGTCAGCGGAAGTCCAGTAATGAAGTCCATAGTGATCCTCTCCCACTTCCACTCGGGAAGCTCAATCCTCTGAAATACACCACCAGGCCTCTGATGCTCGTATTTAACCTACTGACAATTCAAACAACGAGCCACATATGCTACGATATCCTTCTTCATTCTACACTACCAATAATGCTGCCGCAAATCCTGATACATCTTCGCGGCGCCCAGATGAATAGAGTACCTGGAGCTATGGGCCTCCTCTAAAATCAACTCTCGAAGCCCATCCACATTGGGCACACAAACTCGCCCCTGCAATCTCAAAACTCCATCCGCATCTAAGGTAACCTGCTTGGCACCTCCTCGCTGCACCGTGTCTCTAAGGACACACAAATGGGGATCATCAAACTGCCGATCACGGATACGCTCCAATAATGAAGAACGAGCAACCGTGCAAGCTAACACACGACTGGGCTCAGGAACATCCAGTCTCACGAACTGATTGGCTAAAGCCTGAACATCCAAAGCAAACGGCCTCTG